CCGCCCCGTCGCCGCCCGTCGTCTGGGCCAGTGTGGCGGTCTGGCGGCTATGTTTTCGCCGTCGCCGCCCCGTCGCCGCCCCGCATAGATTGCACCGCAGAGATTGCATCGCCTAAATTGTACCGCGGAGACTGCATCACTGATATTGCACCACATAGTGTGAACAACAGAGATGGCACCACATAGATTGCACCACACAGATTGCGCAACATAGATCGCCCAACGTAGATTGCACAATTCTATTCCACAACGTAGAGCGCACCATATAGATTTTCTTTCCCGAGAAGAAATCCGGATCTCCCCCCAAGATTCCCCAATCAGAGCTTGCCTCTGTAGGGGTCCTAGCGGATTCCTATATGGTTAGGTTCGGTTTGCCGCCGATTTTCGCCGCACGCCCGGGTGCCCGGGTGCCCGGGGGTGCCCGGGTGCCCGCCCGGGGGTGCCCGGGTGCCCGGGTGCCTGGGTGCCCGGGTGCCCGGGTGCCCGGGTGCCCGGGTGCCCGTGTGCCCAGGTGCCTGGGTGCCCAGGTGTCTGGGTGCCCAGGTGCCCAGTAGTTCTATATAGCCCTGTAGCCAGCCTTATAGCCTTATAGCCCTATAGCCCTATAGCCCTATAGCCCAACAGCCCCATAACCCTATAGCCCAATCGCCCTATAGCCCTATGGCCCTGTAGCCCTGTAGCCCTGTAGCCCTACAGCCCCATAGCCTTCTAGCACTATAGCCTTATCGCCCCATAGCTCTAAAGCCGTAAAACTATTATGATTTGTTTTTTTCTCCGGTATCATTATATGTACCTCTTGGGATAGTATAGCTTACGATTATACCCAACCGCTCGTTCTAAGTACGAATCCGTACCACCATCGCCTCCCCACCATCATCCTGGTTTAGTAAAACAATGCACGCACATTCGTTTATCAATAATGACAAAGTCCAGACGCGCGCGCCGTTGCGCGCGCATGCCGAAATTATCCCAACATCTCAGATATCGTAAGGATGTCAAGATCGAGTGTCCCGCACACATATGAAACATGAACGGTGTTGCAACATGATTTGTCCAGAAAAGCCTGCGCGCGCTCTTGCGAATTCGTACGAAAACCATCGGCGGTTCACAAGTCTCACCGAATGCGACCAAACTGGCCTCTCGCGCGTGCATGTCGACATCACCTGAATGCTTGTGCGCGCTTGCTGTGGGTGGACGATCATTGTCGAATGATTTCGTGTGGACCACTCGCGCCCGTCGGCCGCGCGCAAGCATGTCAAAATCCTCCCAACAAACGTTGATCTCCCACACGTGGACACCATCATCGTCATCGGCGTGATCAGCATCGGCGCCGTCATTGGCCCTGCCGTCGTCATCGTCATCCTCGTCCCCAGCATCGCTACTATAATCCTCGTCGTGTATGCCGTTGCCGACGTCGACACGATACCGCCCCCGCCCGGGTCACCGACTCGCACTGAACTGCCCGTGCGTCAGCGCGGCCTGCGAGACGCGCTGAGAAGTGCCAGCGTTGAGCGCTACGGCGGCCGCGTCGGTCGCGCCAGACTGGTTGGCCGCTCTGCGCGCGAGACCGCGCGCGGTAGCGTGGCCGCAGCGATGCGCCAGCCAGCGCCAGCAGGTCGTCGCAGTCGCCGCCGCATGTGTTTTACCAAGTTGCGGGTGGGTGGGTGGGATGATTGCGGAAGCAGCGGAGTTCACAACCCAGTGCGAACACAAATTAAGCGCATTGATCAGTTAGCACCGCAAAAACTTGCACCACCTAGATTCTCCTTTGCTGGAAAAGAGCTAGGATCAACCACCTTTCCGAGGGTGTGATTAACCGCCCGCTTTGTCGTATTGCAGTTTACATATAATTGTTGCCCCACTTTCCATTTTTAAAATGAATTTAAATCACCCCAGCCACCGGTATCGACCCCCCCCCCGCCATCTTCTGCAACACGTAGTCTGCGCGCACATTCGTTTATCAAAGATCATCAGTTTTCAACACGTGGGAAGAAGTGTGCACGCGCGCGTCGTCGCGCGCGCACCCCGAAATCTGTCAACAATCGTGGGTTCCGTTTGGAATTCGAAATCGAGCGCCCTGGAAATGTATAAAACATACGGTTTTGCAGCATCAGATTTCTGGAGAAAGGCTTGCGCGCACATTCTTACGAATTCTTGAGAAAACTCTGGTTTTCCAGAATTTCCCTTGCATGCGACCAAATGAGCCACTCGCGCGCGCGTGTCGGAATTATTCGAACGCCCTTTCGTACGTGTTGGGGGGGCACGATCCCTGTCACATAATACCATGCGGCCCAATCGCGCGCGCCGGCCGCGCGCGCATGTCGAAATACTTGCCAAAATTATCATCAGCCACGCGTGGACACCATCACCGTCACCGGCGTGATCAGCATCGGCGCCGTCATTGGCCTTGCCGGCGTCATCGTTTTCACCATCACCATCATAGCTATTTCAGCATCGTGCTTTCCGTTGTCGACGTCGCCATGATAACGCTCCAGCCACAATCACCGTTTCGCACCGAAATGCCCGCGCGTAAGCGCGGCCTGCGGGACGCGTTGAAAAATGCCCAGCGGTGAGCGCCGCGCCGGCCGCGCCAGGCTAGCTGGCCGCAAAGCGCGCGAGCATGCGCGGGTCAGCGAGGCCGCAGCGATGCACCAGCCAGCGCCAAGCAGCCATCGCAATCGCCGCCGCATGCGTTTTACAAATCAAGTTGCTGGTGGCTGGTTTGGATGATTGCCCGAGCCTGGGAGGTGGTCACGCGCGAGGGTGTCAAAATCACTTGCGCCACATAGATTCTCTTTCCCAAAAAGGAAATAAGTTTTACCACCCCACCCCGCCCGGACTTACCGGTTCCCATTTGCGTATGGAAAATTACATATGAGTCTGCCCCATCGTTCATCCCAAACATGAATTTACACTATCCCAGGGGGGCTGGTATCGCCCCCCCACCCCGCCGCACTCTGCAAGTAATATGATACGCGCACACTCGTTGATCTCAAATCAGAAGTTTTCAAAGAATCCCATTTCAAAAAAATGAAACGAAGTGAACACGCGCGCGATGTCGCGCGCGCGTGCCGAAATCCTTTAAAAACCATCGGTTTCAGAAAGGTTGCAAAATCGAGCGTCCAAACAACATGTACAAAAAAAGGGTGTCGCAACACGGTTGTTCAAAAAAAACGTGCGTTTTTTGTGCGAGGTCTTAAGAAAGCCAGGGGTGTGTCTCAACATTTTTAATACAATGCTACCGAACAGGCTTCGCACGCGCGCGCATGCCGAAATCGTTCGAACGTTTTTGCGCGCATGCCGAAATCGTTCGAACGCTTTCGCGCGCATGCCGAAATCCTTCAAAAAGCAGTGGTTCTGGAAGGAATTCAAGATCGGTTGTGCTGAAAACATATAAAAACACATGGTTTCGCAACACGGATTGTCAAACAAAGAAAAACGTGCGCGCGTTCTTGCGACATCTCAAGAAACTTTTAGTTTTCCAACAGTTTCACAAAATGCTACCACATGGACTTCGCGCGCGCATGTCGAAATCGTTCGAAAGACCTTGCGCGCGTGTTGGGGTGGCGCGATCCGTGTCAAATGATACCATGCGGGCCACTCTCGCGCGTCTGCCGCGCGCGCATTTAGAATTTCCCCGGAAACCTTCATCACCGACGCGAAGACACCGTCATCGTCGTCGGCGTGATCAGCCTATCTTTCCTCGTCGTCGCAGTCGTCGTCGTGTTTGGCGTCGTCGTCGTTTCCGTCGTCGTTGTCGCCGTGGTCGTCCTTCCTCCCTCGTCGTCGTCGTTCGACGTCGCCGACCCGTCGTCGTCCCTCCTATGTCGTCGCCGTTGTCGTCGTCGTCGTCGTCTTCGTCGTCGGCGTCGGCGTCGGCGTCGGCGTCGGCGTCGTCGTCGGCGTCGTCGGCGTCGTCGTCGGCGTCGGCGTCGTGGGCGTCGGCGTCGTCGTCGTCGGCGTCGGCGTCGTCGTCGTGGTCGGTGGCGTCGTCGTCGTCGACGTCGTCGGCGTCGGCGTCGGCGTCGTTGTCGTCGTCATCGGAGTCGTCGGAATCGTCATCGGTGTCGTCGTAGTCGGCGGCGGCGGCGTCGTCGTCGTCGGTGTAGTCGTCGTCGTCGTCGTCGGTGTCGCTGCCAAGTGCCATTTGGTACCCACCGTCACGGTCTTAAGAGGTATTGCGACCAAGTTGCGGGTGGGAGGGTGAGATGTTTGCATGAGCAGTGGAGAGGGCAACATCAAGACAGTCAAAGCAGATTGCTCCACATAGATGGCACCACATCGATTGCAACACGTAAGGTGCACCACGTAGTTTGCACAACATGAATCGCACAACACAGATTGCACCAAATAAATTTCACCACGTAGAGTGCACCGCAGGAAATGCTTCACATAGATACCACCACACAAGGTGAACAACAGAGGATGCACCTCTTTTTAGCGCCCCATGGATTGCACAACGTGGACCACGCACACACGAGACAGACTGCACGACATAGAGCGCACAACATAAGCCGCACCCTATATATAGTGCACCGCATTGATAGCGCCGCGTACACTGCACCACATAGGTTGCGCCACATATGCCGTTGGAAACCGATTGCCCAACAAGCATCGAGTGCTAGGAACACACGATTTGCGGCCCCCGCTGCCCAACATGCATACTTCGACGCGTACATGCACGTACGAGATGGGATAGCAGAGGGTGACGGGGTGGATGGAAGACTACCTACATGTGATTGTACAGGGAGAGGGGAATACAAACAAACAAACCAAACAGGAAACAATAAAACATTAATATTGAACAAGTGTGACAGGGTGGGGGGGGGGGATAAGGGGGACATGATACATGGAAAGGACAATATGTAAACAAATGTGGATTGGTGGATTGATTCAGGACGGATGAACGGGTGGGCGCCCCGCAGTTGTTCCAAGATGGGGCGAGTCACCCCACCCTCCGTGCCGACGCCCCCCCGCCGCCCCGAGTGGGGCGGGCGCAGATGGCAAGGGCCGTGGCGCTTGCTGCTGGCGATCTGGAGGAGCCCTTCCTCTCAATGGCCTTACCGGCGGTTCAGAAACTAAAACACGACAGATCGATACGTCTGCGTATGTGTATTTGCATACGTGTATATAAACATGTTTACGTGAAGCCCTGCTGCATACCACGCGTTATGCTCCCGCCGTCCGAACGCAATGCCATCCCCACAGGCTGTGTTGCACTGCCCCCCCCACAACGTGTCCCCTGCACGCGCGCGCTCGTTGCGGCAGTGATGGAGGCACGCTCCAGGAGAGGTGCGGGGGGGCGTTGCGCGATGCCCCCTGCACACAACGCGCGCTGTGGCCGTGAACTGCTACTCCTTCCCATGCTACGGCCCTCTTCCCCATGCTACTGCCACACGCCCTGGTGGTGATCCTCGGTCCGCGAGCATCGTGGGCAGTGACTTGCTGCGCGTCTCCCTGGCAGGCCGGCGGGCCGGGCCGGCCCCCGGCACGCCAGCAGTCGCCAGGGGGCGGGCGGCTCCCGGCCGCGCGTGCGCCTGGCGAGGCGCCTCCGCCGCAGAAGGCTCGCCACCTCCTCTTCCCACTCCACCTCATGTGCACCCCCTCCACCTCCACCTCCACCTCCTCCCCCTCCACCTCGCCCTCCACCTCCCCCTCCACCTCCACCACCTGACCCTCCACCTCCCCCTCCACCTCCACCTCCCCCTCCACCTCCACCTCCACCTCCACCTCCTCTGCCCCCCTCACGCGTCGCACCACTGGGCGTGGGCAAGGGGCCAGGCGTGTCGCTCGAGGCTCGTGTGCCGCGGGGCGGTCTGGAGGCAGAGCAGGCGCCGACTTCTTGATGGATGGCGGGCTGGTCGTGTCCAGAACGCGGCTCTCTCCTTTGCGCCGCGCGCTGGTTTTCACCTCATCCAGCAACTACACAGATGAATGGGGGTGATTTTTCAAATGCGGTGGGTAGGGTTAAAATGTTGGCTCTCGCTGCAGCGCTGCGCACGTGCGTCTTGACAGTTCCTGACAGCTACACAGGTGGAGAGTGTCGTTTCCGAGCTGCGGCTCTCGCTTTCACGCTACGCAGTTGTCTTCAACAGATCCAACATGTACAGTGTGTCGGCATTTCACCAACGTGTCGGGCAGGCACCGTGTCGATACGTTTTGGGGTTCTCGAAATCTTTATGGGATGTGGTCCTTAACCTCACGAGATCGTTAGTAGCAGTTGTCGTCGTGGTTGCGCGGCGGGTGCCGCGGAGCAACATGATTAGTTACCCCCATATTGGTGGGACCCAGTCTTCCAGTAAGGCAACTGAAAAAAGGCGCGGCGGGTGCCGCGAAACAAATCATTAGTTGCGCCCATACTGGTGGGACCCCAGTCCTTCAATAACGCCGCCGGACAAAGAATTAGTTACCCCCTGCCAGGTTCAGACCGCTTGCCAGGAAGGATCCAAGCAAAAAAAGACACAACAAAATATCCCGCAGAAAAAAAACACAACAGGCAAACAAACATACTATAACATATACACTAATTGGATATTACCTGATCCTCCGCCTCCTCTTCCTCCTCTTTCTGAGCGTGGAGTTATCCATGTGGGCGGTCGCGGGTTAGGTCGTGTGGGGGGGACGCGGAGGAGTCGGGGCGGGAGGAGGGGGCTTACTTGCATACGCATGTGTCCCAATCGGTTCATACACAGATGAATGTATGGATGTATACACACACACATATATATATATATGTATGTATGTGATATATGTGTATATATATATGTGAGAGAGATCCAGGGCACCATATCTGGGGCCGCTCCCCCCTTGTAAAATGGAAGCGGCCCCCTCCTTTGAGGCTCCTCTGGCGGCTCCCAGGGCTCCGAGTCCGCCCAAGAGCGCTGCATCAGCGCCCAAGATGGTTGCCAGACTGCCCAAGAGGCATCCAGGACGCCTCGATAGAGCTCCAACAGCGTTCCGAGGCGCCCTCAGAGAGCTCCACCCCAAAAGGCCAGAGGAGACCAACGTCATCACACTTCTTTCGGACACATACTGATTATATGGACTTCTTTGGATCTTAAGAGCGTCGCGCCCTAGGAGACCCAAGACGGTTCGATAGGGCCCTCCTAGACGGCCCAAGAGGTCCCCAAGACGGTCCAAGGAGCGCCCCAAACGGCCCAGATGAGCCCGCAAGAAGGCCCCAGGAGAGCTCAGACAGGCGCCGAGAGCGTGCCAGGAAGGGTAAGTACGTCTCGGCGTGTGGCCCCCAACATGCTCCCAGAGGCCTCCTGGACGCGGCCCCCAGAGGCTCCCGAGAAGCCCCCAAGAGGCCCCGAGATGCCCCGGAAAGGCTCCGTAGAGGCCTCCAGGAGGTCCCTGATTAGAACTCCGCGAGGCCCCGAGAAAGCCAAGACGCCCCTGACTCACGTCCCACTCACAAGTATTGTCTGTACGGTTTTGATTGCGTGTCGCTGCATGTATGTACGGTGTGTACGCAGGTGTGTGTGTGTGTGTCAGGTGTGTAAGTATGCTCACTCTGTGCGAATGGTACTACATGATGTATGCAAGTACGCATATACGTATGCATGCATGTGTGTGTGCGAACGCATGTATGCATGCACGCATACACATATGCATATACGCATGGTATGTTTATGTGTATCCATGCATGGGTGCGTTACAACGATACATCAACAATTCGCTTGGCTAAGAGCCAACCCTATGCAGTTGGTCGTTGCGCAGGGCGCGGCCCTCTCTTCCATACTGCGCGCCGCGGGGGAGTGCGGATAGGGGGCTGCTGCTGGGCTAGCGCGCAGAGGCGCTCTGTGATGCGCGATCTTCGCGAAGCGGGTGACCCCCGCGCGAGCGCGCCCACTGCGGCCGTAGGTGAAGCTCACCGTGGAGCGCGATCCGCGTGAGGCGTGCGCCGAACTGGGCGTGGTGAAACCATGTGCCCACTGGTGCAATAGATGGAGGTCTTTGCGGTGCACGATCTGCGTCAGGGGAGTGCCGAACTATGCGGGGGTGCGTCATGCGAACCCTCCCTCTGGGGCCGTCGACGGAGCTCCCTGTGGGGCGCGACCCGTGCGAGGGGTGCACCGAAAATGGGCGTGAGGCCGCCTGCGAGCATGACCCCTGGGACCGTAGGTGGAGTTCCCTTTGGGGCACGATTCATGTCAGGCGGCGGGATGCGAACCTTGTATGTGGGGCCGTCGGCGGAGCTCCCTGTGCGGCACGATCGGGGACGCTATGCGAAGCCTCCCGCTGGGGCCGCACGTGGAGCTCCCTGTGGTGCACGATCCGTGTGAAGGGTGCGTCGTCACGGACAGATGGGCGCCATGCGAACTTTGTCTCCGGCACCGTAAAGGGGGACACGATCCGTGTGAGGGGTGTGCCGGAAGTGGCGGGGAGACGCCATGTGAACCCTGCGTTTCTCTGGGGTCATAGGTGACGCTTCCAGGGGGCAACATCCGTGTGAAGGGTGTGCCGAACTGGGCAGGGGGGCGCTCTGCGATCCCGCCGCATTCCTTTCCCTCCCTGCGTTCCTCTTTTCCCCCCCCCCCTCAGGCAGTGTCGCCTCTCATCTATGTTTCCGCCTTTTTGCTTGCTTCTCCCTCAACCCTCTTCCCTTGGCGTTCCTCTGTCCTCTCTCGCTTTTTTTTTTGTTCTCTCTCTCTCTCTCTCTTTCTCTCTGCGGCAGTGCATTCCTCAGAAGGGACTGTGAAGGATGTATTGTATCCTTAGCCGCGTTGTTTCTAAAAGCCATCGTCATGGTAGCGGAGCTGGTGACAATTCCACCCGCTACCGATCCATTCCTGAAGACGGGCGCGCGGCGCCCTGATAGCGGCAGCTACGAGGATGTTCGTTGTTTTGCGTGCTGCCGCAGGCGGTGCGAGTGGGGTGAACGGCTTGGGACTCCCGAGCCTGCAGTCGACCAAGGAGAGCGATCTGCAGGAGAAGGATCGCAGAGGAGCTGGCGACGGTTGGTTCGCAGCTTGTTCAGAATCAGGCGGCTGCAGCGTATTTGGGGTCATGTTGGACAGTGGTTTCAACAGGTCGCGACGAAATAGCTACGTGAAGATCTTAGAGAGTGGCTTTGATGGAGGAAGAGCAGCTACGCCAGATGGGAGAGCAGATGAGAGTCCTAACGAACGAGCTGACCCAGCAGCGGAACATTGCGAATACGCTGCAAGCGCAGAGGGTCGAAGAGCTCGAGAACATCAACAGGTTGCAGGCCACGGTCCTGGCGGACCGCGAGGCAAGAATAGAGAGAGAGAGTGCAGTTCTTAGACATCAAGGGTATCGGCAAGCCGACGGTGTTCAACAGCGACATGAAGGCGTGGTCGCGCTGGCCGTTCAAGCTAGGGAACTTCCTGGAGGGTGTAGCGACGGGGATCAAGGACGCGATGGACTACATCCAAGACCAGGAGGACCTGCTGACTCAGGAGGATCGCGACGAGCTCGCCGGGTTCAGGGACGACGGCACCGACGCGAGGAATGTGGGCAGACAGCTGCACGCGGTGCTGGCACAGCTCTGCAAAGGAAAAGCTTTGGACCTGGTGCAGGCGACCAAGGACAACGACGACTCCGAGGCATGGCGGATTGCGACGCTTCGACCCGCAGGGAGCTGGACGGAGGAGGATCATCCTAAGCACGCTGATCCATCCAGGGGCTGTCGACGTGAAGGAGCTCAACAGCCACATCGCCAAGTGGGAAAAGCGGCTGCGCGTCTACGAGAGGCGGGCCGGCAGCCCGATGCAGGAATACATCAAGACCGAGGTGCTGATCAGCGCGACGAAGGGCGTGCTCAAGGACCAACAAGTCTTGAATGCCAACAAGCTGGAGACCAACATCAGTGTGCGAGAGGAGATCCATAGCTACCTGGAGCCGAAGGTCAACGAGGGTCCGGCACCGATGGACATGAGCAACCTCGGAGGCAAGGACGGCAAGACTAGATCGGACATCACGTGCAACAGCTCCGGCAAGAAGGGCCGCACGTAGCGAGACTGCTGGCTTCCGGGAGGCGGCGCCAGTCAGGAGTCCCGAGACCAGAGGGGCAAGGGCAAGGGAGCCAAGGACAAAGGCGGCGAGCGAAGGCAAGAGCAAGGACCCGAAGGGCAAGGGCAAGACCCAGATGCCGTGCCAGCCTTGGCCAAAGCGAGATGGGCGACCGAAGCGCCAGCAGCAGTAGCAGGCCGGCTTCCGAGGGCGCTGCTCGATGCGTTGGACTGGGGGGAGCAGCGGAAGGACTGCCCATCAGCGCGAGGCCAGACGCCATCGTCGGAACGAGGTGCCAACTGCCTGGAGACGAACGACAAGCAGGATCCGGAGGCCGAGCAGCCTGGCAGCCTCGGCGGGCTGGACCCGCGCACCCTGGAGCTGAACGCCATGAGCGATGTCGACGAGGAGTTGTTTCATGCGGCGGTGGGCTCTGGGGCAGCTGAGAGCGCGGTGCCGATCGCGTGGTTCTGGGGCGTGGCGGCGAGGCCGACTGTGTCCAGCGAGAGTGGCGCCAGCTACCGGGCAGCCAACGGCCAGCTGGTGCACGACGAGGGTGTGAAGACAATCGAGGTGCTAACGGAG